CAGAACAGAAATGGCTGGATGGATCTATAGTCTCCCTTAAGTAGATAGAATATAGATATACGGGGGGATCTTATTGTAAGATACCCAAAGCCATATTCTATCTACTTAAGGGGGACTATATGACAACACATGGTCCAGGCGCACTGTGCCTAGAATGAAGTCGAGCCCAACAAGGACCACAAAGGATGTCTCAAAAGTTGGTCAAACAGGGCCGAGCGCTTGGGCAAACCCAAGACATCCTACACCCTACACCCTAAACCCTAAATAGTAGTTCCCATCTTCTTTTCCATTATCCCAATATAGCCCCTATATACTATAGTAGTTTCCCATCTTCTTTTCCATTATCCCAATATAACCCCTATATACTATAGTAGTTTCCATTTTCTTTTCCATAATCCCAATATAACCCCATATAACCCCTATATAACCCTCAAATGTACCCCAACTGAGAGGTTGACTTGCAGGATGCCATCACTGAGGGTCCAGGTACACTCCTGGGTTGCTTTTAAGGGACTTAACTTAAGTTACCATAATGGGTATATAGGGTTTAGGGTTTAGGGTTGAGGGTTTCCCCATATAGCAACTTAAATCAAATTCCCAAAAAGCAGCCCAGACTCATCTGTGGTGGTGTTGCCGGCCAGCGAGGAATCGATGATCACCTGACACACAGCCAGCATCCGAAGAGACGAAACTATCCGAATAGCAATCCCCCAAACCCGCGCGGTCTAAGGGGCCACAGCTATGTCGAGAAAGCCACGAATCTCTGGTTATATCTTGCTAGTATGACTGATGGCTTTCAGACTTGCTCGTCCGCAACATTCCACAGAGTTTCTCAAGAAGTGACAAGGATCCGTCAGATAGAACCAAGAAGGCTTCTTGGTTGCGATGTTCCACGGTGTTCCACGTTTCATCAATCATTCGCGACGATGTTGTGGGGAAGGGGCTCCTGCTTGAAAAGTCTCTGAGCCCCAATGACAGGCACACTGGAAACCACAATTTTGGGCTCTCCATACCGTATCTCTTTTTGATCAACGAGCGCACCTCCCTTACAGTAACAGGGGTCGTACGATTGGTCTCCTATTGCGTAAGGCAGTGTAGCGAAAGTGCGTGGACCATGGCCTCAATTCACCATCATCGTCGAAGAACCGTCATGACCATCGGCACCCTTCTCTTTCATCACCATGATTGTCATCATCGTCGTCATGGCCGTCGTCATCAACAGCATCATCTCAAGCAGTTAACTAATTCCATGAAAGCCCACATATCCAACCCTCTCATAGACCTCATTGCGGAAGAGAGTCTTTGAGTCTCGGTTCTACAATAGTTGGGATCCTTCTGAACAGGTCGTGTCGACAATATTGTGGGTATGTTGATCGTATAGGTATGTATAAAGCAGGAAACCCCAATGTCTGAACCGAGCACTTCCAACCCATGTCAGAAAACAAAACGGCTGCTAAGCCTACTGTCCTTGCGAATGGGACCTTTCCAGATGTCCAGGTTTCCTTGGGCTAGGGCAAGTCATTAAATTGCAAATAAGATTCTTGTCCTCTGAAGCTGTTGGATTCCACTGCCTCTAATGTCCCAAGCTGAGCTTTCGAAGCTGCAATCTGGCGCCTGGTCCTTGACTGAAACTTTCAGCCGTTTGCGTCCAAAACAGACCTGGCTCGAAGTGATCCTAAACCCTATAAACCCTGTAAACCCTATAAATCCTATCAATCCTATAAACCCTATAAACCCTAAAAACCCAAAATCTAGCTAGCCAACCCAGAAGGCAAAATTAAGAAAACTGCACCCCCCAAAAGTGTGTAGGATGCTGTTTTTTGGTGGCTAAGTGGGTCTGGGAACACAATATTTACCTACGTTTTTGATATCCAGATACAGTCAAGGTTTAGGATCTATGTAGAGTTTTAGGTACTGTTCTAAGGACACCCCGAAGGCAGAGACGGACGAAACGCAGCCAAGCTCTTTCAAGGACCGAGGACATTCTTGCGACTTTCACTTCAGGGTTGATTTCTATTGTTTAGGGACACAGACATACGATCCATAATCCACCCACACAGAAACAACCCTAAACCCCAAACTCTAGACCCTAAACCCGTACAAAATCCAACAACCCAAACGCTGAACCCTAAGCCCTGAACCCCAAACGCTAGACCTAACGAGCTTAAGATCTTGCACTTGCAAATAGAGCCCGTGACAAGGTGAACTTGCCCATCGAGGTTTGCCTCCGAAACTTAGAACCTATGCAAAGGGTCCATGTAGGTGTGTGTATATATATATAAATGTATAGTATAGGGCTAAGTATTGAGGGTTGAGGTAAAAGATCCATGTAAGTCAAAGGGTTCATGTAGGTATATAGTATAGGGCTTGGGGTTTACGGTTTAGGGTAATCGATCCATGTAAGTCGAACTGTTCATGTAGGTGTATAGTACAGTATAGGGTTTAAGGTTTAGCGTTTTAGGGCAGCTGGTGCATACTTAGGGCCCAAAGGGGTTCCCATATACCTACTTTGGAGCCCAGGTATATGCTATATATAGCTACATGGACCCTTTGGGCTAAAGCTTCTGCTTAACGCTAGACTTTGCCGGCTTGTCCACATGCGCTGCAGGCAATATTTCCTACTTAATTTAATGGACACAGATTCCTTGCTAGAGACTATATGAGGGACTGAACTAAACGACAGAAGGGCCCCGTATGTCCACTGCGAAGAGTCCCTTAATAAGGCCAATACAAGCAGTTGCTCGTGTAGAGCCTAACCTGCACCTCAATAGCCTGAGTCCATGTCTGCAAATGCAACGGACTGCCAGCCTTGACATACTTTTTGTCTCCTTTCTGAAGGCCGTCCTTCTTGAAGGTTACCTCGGCAAGCCACAGTAGCGAACCATGCCAGAAATTCTCGGATTTTTACAGGCCACCAATAGGTGGTACCCAGGTGCAACGAAGCCTCCAGTAGGCGTGAACAACATGACCACAAGAGCCCCCAAGTAAAGGTTTAGTTTCCTAGGAATGAACAGATGCCCTTGACTTTTTTTGGATGTTAACAAATGATTTCATCCTATGCTCAGTGAGAGCTCACAGGCCAACAGAATCACGCTGATGACTTTTGAGCTCAGTTTCCCATCGTTATGAGACATCACAAATGACCCACAGACTCAAAGCACTGACCATGCGCCTCAAGAACCCGGCTCACCTCTCAAAAAGTACCCTTCTACAACTGCGACTGCGAGGAGCCTTCGTCTAATAATCATATACCCACCCAAAACCTGCACTATAATTACTATTACCAAAACCCTAAGTACCCAATTATTGGGTACATGGACCCTCAGGGTAAGGAATTACAAGCAATCTCTGCAGCAGAGTTGATCCTGTGGGTTGACGTGGCAAATATGCTCATGGAGAGTATGACAACACTTGCGTCAGCGGCTTCAAGACAGAAGCCACCTTGGACCTCTAAGGGAATGGGTCCTCTTGAAATGGGGTGGGGGGAGGGTCCCTGTTATATACCCCAGATAACAACGATCCTTGTTATACTCTTGCGTTGTGAAAAATGCCCAGCTGCATGCTTGGACACCCCATAAACCCCGATCTGCAAATCCTGAAGCATGTAAATTGAAGTCGAACAATCATCTGAAATTCTGTGTAATCCCTGAAACGGACACCTACCTTCATCGAACTTATTAAACCCTGAATTGTCCTTGAGAAGCCCTCAAGTTCCAAGTGAGTGCTGCACCTCAACTTCGTCTTCAGACTGGCCCAGGAGCGCAAGCCCATGAAAAAACTTTTGGCTTTTGGGTTTAGGGGTCGCTTGCTGAGATTGCCAATCAAAAGAAGCGTTGTATTGCAGGATGGGAAATTGGAAATTGCTGTAAGTTTCTTGGACTTCGGTCCTGGGTTTGGCGTTCGGGAGGTCTTGAGGAACTTGGAACCCTCAGGATAGGCCAAGTTCCTGCTGAAGTTCATGCTTGGGAAGCACTGCCGCGGCCGGCCCAGTAGCCCTGAACAGGACATAACGGCCACGGACTTTTTTCAAAGCTACTAAGGACGGCAGGTGCTCCTGAGCCTACTGGTTAATAGTCGGAAATGGAGGGAAAAGAGAATGGAAACCATGATAATGATTTTGCCTGATTGAACACCAGTATAATCAGCTTCAGCAGGCACGTTACATATACTCTCACCAGACTGGAATTTATGTTACAGGCATGCTGAGATCTAACAAGGGACCCGCAACTTGGGACACGCCCAACACATTCTGTCTCTAGCATGCAGCACTAATAGCACGGGCAAAACAAACCGACACATGCTGCAGCCTTCATAGCAATTCTAGATAATCGGACTTCTAGTAGAAGGAGATAATCACGCGCAGCCACCTGAAGAAGACCCACAACTGCCCTAACCCTGTACGCCTGAACCCTAAACTTACCTTTGGTTAGCTGGGCATGAAGGAATGGAAAGAAAGTGGAAAGTACTATAATGGGTTATGTAGGGACTACTATAAGGATCCATTCTTTCATTCCTAGCCAACCAAAGGTACGTAAATCAAAGGCCTGTTTCCAGGAGTAGTCAGCAGTTTCACCCTGGGGAGCTTCGCCCATCATGGTCTGCAGATTGATCTGGGCCTAGGGCCAACATTTGTTCAAGTTGTGGTTCGCCTTACGTTATATGATAGGATGGCTGTTTTTATGTGTGTGTGTGTGTGCATGTCCTGTTGTTTTTTCTTTTTTGGTGTTGGGTTCCTCCTTTTCCGCGGGTTTCATGAAGGAAGAGGTTCTATAGAAAATCGTGTTGCTCAGAACTTGTTTGCGCCTTTAAACCGGCAGTACAGGTAGGTAGCTTACAGAATAGTTGTTGCTCCTATACTACCAGCACAGAACGCCACTGCAAAATGGAATACTGCCAACATGAAAGGTACCCACCTTGAATAGGCTTCTGCTCCCGGCAGTCGGGAGATGAGGTTCTGAGGCTAAGCTGACAAGATTGTTTTCTGGCATTGCATACGGGACAAGCATGACCCTTTGGGGGGGAGGACAGCTCGGAATCAGGAAAACACGTTTTTGGCTTAAGGCTTTTCTCGCAACTTTTAGAGCCGGTGATCCGTCGGATTGCTGTGTTCAGCAGGGTTCATAGATTTTGAGACATAATCTTGCAATGACCTGTGGATTCTTGGTATGGCTTAGGAGTTTGGGGTTTATTCCTTGGCTAAGGCGTACTGGAAGTTGGATCCCACGTGCAGATTCGCGCGGAAAAAGTGGTGTGAGGCTTGGTCGATCTCAAGCCCTGAATACATTATTATTGAGTCTTAAGCTCCGTGTGTATGAGAAGAAGAACCCCACAATCATGAGAGTGCTTTAGCTGTAGGAAACGAAATGCTCCGTAGCGTGAAAAAAAAAGGTTCAGCTCTCGGAGTTTGCGTGATTCAGGGATGTATATCCATAGATGTATGCAAATGGTATCAGAAGGACCATAGGTTTAGGTACGTACACTATACGGAAACAACAAGCACCGCACCCTGAAGTGGGTGAAGTGGGCTAGCAAACGGCGTGATACCGCTGAGATTTGACTAGCGCTTTATAGGGGTTATAGTAGCATTATGGATGCTAGCCCAAATACACCGGGATACTCGTGAAATGGGAGCTGAATGTTAGGGAGGCTGGATTGGAATCTTTAATGAAGGCAATTCGCAGATTACTGTCCCTCAAAACAACTTGCCTATAGGGCTTCAGCTTACGCAGTTTGGCGGAAGGGGACAAACCTGGACGCCAAACGCAAGTAAACTGATGACTCACAAAGACAATCAACAAGACCCCACATATTTTGGGGCTTAAGTAATTACTTTGGCTGTAGGAGACAACAAACCTGGACGCCAAAAGCAAATAAACTGATGACCCACAAAAACAAATCTTGTACCACTGTTCTACATACTTTGGGGCCTAACGAACCTGCCAAACCCTCCGCTGCCAACCCATACAAGCATGACCTTGTGGAGGAGAAAACTCTCCGAATCCTACACTGCACAACGAAACCACCAAGCCTGGCCCTTGACCCTAAACCCTATAAACCATAAATCCTACCTCAAGGCCCCCACAAGCGTGTAGAAGACAGGTCTTTGGGACTGCCATGATCTACCCGGTGTAGGGTTTAGGGCAGACCCCTGAGGTTCCTACCCATTGAGGTAACATTAGGGCTATATTGGGGGCAATATGGGGATAATGGCAAAGAAAATGAAACCTTGTATAATGGGGTGATATAGGGCTAGGCGTCTAAGCCAAACAGCATGCCCCCAAACTCATCTGACCTTGAACCCTCAGGGTCTAGATACTCAAATATGAGGCTCCCAGATCCAAAATAGCGTATCAGAAATGGTATGTGGGACCTAGACCCATTCGGGGTACCTAGACCTTTAAGCCTAAACCCCAAACCTAAAGCCTAAACCCTAAAGTCCTAAACGGAAACCCGGTCCCAGCCCCTCCCTGCAGACCAGTAGCTGGATTGTCGACACCCACGCTATCCGCAAGGCTTTTCAGATCCCCAGACTTCCTTTCAGAATATTGTTCAGGGTCTAAAGTGTAGGATTTAAAGATTCGGGTTTAGGACTTATATATATATATATATATGTTTTTTTTGTGTGCTTTGGGAATATAATCTGAAGGGATCATGGAAAAGAACATGAAAACTACTGTTGAGGGCTTAGGGTCTAGGGATTATAGGGTTTAGGGGTATTGGCTCAAATTATGGAGAATCAAGTGGAAAAGAAATCGGAAAATGAATTTGAAACCTAGGGATTACGGGCCAGGTATATGACGAAGCACTCGTGCTGTCTATACTGGCAGCTATAAGCGACTATGGGATTGCTTTTTCCCTACCTAGTTTCGGAATTAACCCTCAGGGTCCAAGTACCTAAATAGTATGTAGTTAGGGCCGAAAGGACCTATATACATAGGAACCCATCTGCGCTCAAATGATCTATTATTGGGGTACTTGAACCCTTCGGGTGAGGGTTCAGGTTGTGGGTGGGTTGGGGCTCCCGTGGCTAGTCTAAACTCCTAGTATCCCCCCCTATAGAATCCCCTATATTGCCCCATATAACAGCGTTTACGGATTTAGACCATAGCCCATACAGGGATTGAGGTTTGAGCATTGGCGTGCAAGGTTTGTGGTAAGGAGTTGATATGTTGAAGGGCTTCGGGCTCGCGAGTTAGGTGTTTTCTTTTCAAAACCCAGGGGCTCCTTGACCCCCGAA